GTGTTGTCTTGTAAAAGCCAAATGTTCAGTCTTGGTGCATTTAATGGTAAAGGTGTGCCCTCAATATACCCGAGCGTATCTGTAGTGCACAAGTTTGCATTGCATTCTAGCTAGCTAGGGAAGCATGCAGAAATACAGAAATGTGTGATAACGCCTAGTAGGATTATTTTGAGAGGTATTTGTTGAACCTGGAGGAAAAAAGAAAAAGAAAATGTAGTGGTACAAACAAAAGAGAGATAAGATGCAACATAGGTACAACCTGCATGTCTGTCTAGTCACTTGGTCACTGCTGGGGCATCTGCTCTGTAGCTCCAGTAATTGAAACGGGGATGATTTCTGAGCCTCTAGGCATCCCATGCTGGGTGGCAGCTCCTTTAAGCAGAGAGTTAAGAACTTCACTTTATGGAAAAGGACCTTGCCAGCTGCCTGCCACCTTGCAGTTATCATAGAAGGAATTGGGAGATTTTATAAATAGTGAGATTATTGAATGAGAAAAATGGATGAGAATGCAGTGCTGTACAAATTTAGGGATGTTTTATTTCGATTCTGTAATTAAAGCACATTGGAATATAAAAGATCAGAGCCGATGAGGCTGGGGAGGGTACTGGCTTTGCAGGATTGGGCTTTTCAAGTTACCTGTCTCTGAGCCAATGCTTTTTGTCCCATCATCGTACAGCTTTCCCAGAAGTAACAGGTTGTTTGCTGTGTCTGTATGGGATTCATGTTTTTATCTGGCTGCTGCCTACACATAGAGATGCTGAAGATGCAGATGGTGTTGTGCTTGTCCTGTTTTGCAGAAGGTATGAGCTGCATGAACAAAGATCATGGCTGTGCCCACATCTGCAGAGAAACGCCCAAAGGAGGGGTTGCCTGTGAGTGCCGACCGGGATTCGAGCTGTCCAAGAACCAGAGGAGCTGCATTTGTATGTAACGTTCTGCATATTCCTATGGTTTCCCAAACTGTACAGTGTTCTATTTGCAGTGCTATGGGATTTGGTATATCATAGATAAACTGGGAGGATACCTGAATGGTGTACATTTGAATTAAACCATAACTGGTGACTATGCAGGACACTAATGCAGCAATCTGTTGGTTGCAAAAGTATCTGTAATTTGGGAGCTACACCATAATTCCTGGT